TATTGAAATGAATGAATTTATGTCATTAATTTTGGTATCAAACTGTAGATTATAATTCAAATTTTAGTATTATATATTATTTAATTTCTTGATTTAAAAGTAAATATTAAAAAGACACACTTAAACCTTTATTTTTGTGTGTTACGTGGTATGTTGAATGCAGCACTGGTTAAAATTAGATGTTTGTGATCTCAAAATACTGAGTCTATAGCTTTGTGTAAATTAGGAACTCAAGTTATTGATATTGACAAGCTAGAATATAAAATATGAACCTCCTATCTTTTCTATTTGCTGAGATATCACTCGTATACTAAACCAGATGTATTGGCCCTGCTCACCTCTTTCCATTTTTAGAAATGGTCCCTTATATATATATACAATGTTCTATATATGAAATGTGAATAACCAATCAAAAGCTCAGAATGTCCTCCTAGTGACTTTTTCAGCCATTTTAAAGTGTTAGGACGCCATCTCGTTCTTTCGATTTAGATTTCAAGGAGGTAGGTTGCGTCTTTAGTCTGCTTGAAATTTAATATTTTTTTAGACCCAAATACAGCATAGTTACTAAGCTTGATAAATTATAGTGGAATTCTATGGCATCAGTATAGTAATTTATGATTTTTTGATTATTCAACTATATATATAAAACCTTAAGGCTTAGCAAGCTACGACAAGCAGCAACTGGTTGGAACTAAAGAGAGATAATTGTTTTCCTTACTTCTTTATTTAATGTTCTATGTTATAAGAAAAATAAGTTTAGGAACTTATTTCCAAATAGCAATAATCTATATACATGTATAATGTATAATAATTGAAATGTGACTGTATTTTACAAAATACTAGTCCACTACAACACAGCCAAGACAGGTCACTTTGTAAAGACTAACATGAGTGCATGTGCGCCATGTCATTGTAACTTCTGTATTGTTAGCCAGGCATGGCTGAAAAGTCAATATAGTAAATGTATAATATTATGAGATTCAATCTGCTTAGTCTAAATGTTTGTGTTATAATTTGTAGTCATTCTACAATGAAAAAGGCATAATTTATTTCCTAATTTTTTATGGTGGTTACGAGATATTCATTAGTGAAAATAACAGATAAAATATAAAGTTTTTTCTTAAGAAACGTTGGATAACTATCTGGACATTATAAGGATTTAGCATGTGAAATTTGAATATTTTCTGATGCATAAAAGTATTTTTAATCTTAAAATGAAAATTACTTTGCGTGTTGGATAGGCAACCTGCAAAAAAGAAAAAAGGCATGAGAAAACATTGCTTTAGAAAAAATCAAAATTAAATATCTATTTTTTTAAAAACTACATACTTGTAGAACCTTTCATCAAAAAATGTCATCCACTAGTTTCATTTTTGTAAAGAACTTTCACTAGAGTTACATACGTACTTACAATGTAAGTAGGTCATAGTCAAAGGGTTAATAGTACTTAATCAGATAGTCCTGTAACTTCAAGATGATGATGTCTTTAGTTCCATCACCAACTGCAGATCTTCCTTTAAAGATGTACACGTACTTTGCTTCAACCTCATCCTCATCTGTTTTGGCATCTACAAATCGGTTGCTTGCCAACAAATCCATTATTTCAATAGGAGCATCTGGGTAAGTTTATAGGGCGAGTCTTCCAAATCTTCCACAAGTTCAACTCTTATTTCCCCTGTACGCTGTTTTGGAACTTTGCTCTGGATATTTCCTTCTGGTGTGTTACTCAGAATTTGTTGGATAAGGCAGCTACTAGTGCTTGATAGTTGTGGCTCTATGCTGGAAGGATACTTAATGTCATCAAGGCTGGTCGTTTTGAATAAGTAGGAAGATGAATATGGTAACTAACCAACTTGGCTGAATTGTAGGAAATACATGTAGTATTGAACGATTGAAATATTATTCCACAATCACATATTGACAAATGAATGGTTGTATAAAAACAAAGTACACTGTACTATTTAACATAAATATAAAATATTAACGTACTATTTAACATGAATACAAAATATTAACGTTCTATTTAACATAAATACAAAATATTAACTAACCAACTTGGCTGAATTGTGGGAAATACGTGTAGTATAGAACGATTGAAATATTATTCCACAATCACATATTGACAAATGAATGGTTGTATAAAAACAAAGTACACTGTACTATTTAACATAAATATAAAATATTAACGTACTATTTAACATAAATACAAAATATTATTATACTATTTAACATAAATATAAAATATTAATGTACTATTTAACATAAATACAAAATATTATTATACTATTTAACATAAATACAAAATATTAATATAGTATTTATCATAAATACAAAATATTAATGTACTATTTAACATAAATACAAAATATTAGTGTACTATTTAACATTAATATAGCCCCCCAGTGGCACAGCAGTATGTCTGTGGACTTGCAACGCTAAAATCCAGGTTTCGATACCTGTGGTGAGCAGAGCACAGATAGCCCATTGTGTAGCTTTGTGCTTAATTACAAATAAACAAAAACATTAATATAAAATATTAATGTACTATTTAACATAAATACAAAATATTAATGTACTATTTAACATAAACACAAAATATTAATGTACTATTTAACATAAACACAAAATATTAATGTACTATTTAACATAAAC